ACCAATTCCATAAGTTAATTGCCCTAGTCTGTTTACATTTGACTTTGCTAATACACACAGTTGCCCGAAGGTCATCATAGGCTGGGGTGTTTCCACTGGACACAGATGGCAGAGGGTAAGATGAATCGGTTATTTTAACTTGGTTATCGCAGTAGACGCTACTCGCATGCAAACGAAGAACCCCGTGTGCTTGAATCACTCCCATACCCATACGCTCGCTAATCTCATTCGAAATATAGGTGTAAGAATCAGTTTTTCTTTAATTACAATTTTCATTCTCTGTCTTTCGACAGACATGAAAATACGTGTTTATATTTGCATAGCAATTCAGATATACTTGTGAATGGTCTGATAAGTAATATTTACTTTGAACAGGGCATTTACTGGACACAATATTCCCCTTAAACTAACTTTTCCACTACTTCAGGGGCAAATTACGATAATTCTGTATAATAAAGGGCACAGATTTCACTTCAGTGATTTGGCTACGGGTTCAAAGTGGTGATAAACTCACTGGAGAAATAGATTCTGAGGGTTCGAAAAACAGTGAATCAAAAGACAAACAAGCACATCCAACTTAATGACCGATGGAATAGACTGTAGCCATCTTTTCCTAACTTAGTATGGATGTCTGTTTCGTGACCGACTCTTTAGTGACATTCGGCACAGCGCTTTCGGGGTACCCATATCCACAAAACATAGAGTCTACCAGTAACCCGTTGTTTACGGGAGTTTCAGANGCACTGATCGCGGACACTAAGCCACCTAGCTCTCTCCATCGCCACTGAAACGGAATGCTCAGCAGGCTCGCTTTCACCAGGCTTAACAGCATTTGCAAATAACTGAGGCCTTGCTTGAATCTCCGCTACAGGGCCTGTGACTAAGGTTCACTAATGGAAATACAGCCCTAAGTGACTATGGGGTTCACTTTCTATGGTGTTCATTAAACAACACCATGTGATTAAATCACTCACTGCGAATAAAAGTTCACTTTTCATTTTTGTATTGTTCATAGCGTGTGTGGCTTTTGGAGAAGGCAATAGATACGTTAAGTACATTTATTTGACTTGAAAATAAATCCAAAAAGGGTGAAAAACGAGGGATTTTTGACATTTTCCTAGTAGCATGTGTGAATTTTTGAAGCACTGGAAACCGTTCACCGTAATATCACTGGATCTGCCTGTTTATAGAATCATCATGAACCCAAAACTTTGATCACCGGGAAAAGTAGAAGAAGGTAGGAAGAAGGCAGTGTATTTCACGTTGAAAGAGTGGACGCCATCGAAGAACCTTAACAACTATCGGCTCGGAAA